TTTGTGTGAAACCGCTCAATGAACTACATCTCCCGTCTCGCACCACACACCAAGACGGCCGTCACGTTGACACTAGTGCTGGGGGGAAACGATTATTTTGAAAACGATTAATCGGGCGATTATTTGATCGATTAGTCGACTAATCGAACGATTATTTTTCTGTTGTTCAATTCATAAAAAACGTAATGTAAAAAAAACGTAATGTAAAAATTGTTTTTTTCACGATACTGTGTCTCAGGGGATTTTAATATTTAAGAACCTATTAATGTGTTATACCAGATTAACGGAAATAATCTCAGCTAACTGACGATACAAACCATGTTTACCAAAACAAAACACAAGTCTCATAAGAAGCATCTAAATGACCCCTGAGCGAAAAATGCTAACGAACATTGGCACAGAACTCAAGATAAAAGTACCCTTATTACTTATCGTAGCTGCACATACAATATATCCGATTAAAGCTGAGACTCCACAGATTATGTAGGTACATAGTATCATCACTGAGTGATCCGGACTCGCGACAGGGGAAGCAAATACAGTCATCACAACACGTACCTTCACAGAGCTTCTAGGGAGATCGTCTCACCGCCGTAGCTGTCAATCTGATCAAAATGCGTGTTCAATGGCATTCAAATGAGAAAAAACGCGGCTGAATCGGTTAATCCATAGGTTTTTAACGTCTATGTATACAAAAATTATTGAATTTATAATCCATAATTCCATTTTAAATCGGAGAGCAAATGCTAGCTGCTAATGGTTGCCACCACAGCTAGCTGCTGCTTCCGGTCAAGCAGCAGTCTCAGTGAGATATAAATATATAAATATCTTTGCGTTTTGGACTAACTTTAAAATATTCCCATGCTTTTGAAGACCTGGGGCGAGATGTTTTCGTTTGAGGGCTTCGTGCGCAATCCTGTGAGGAGGAGGTGATAGCCGTTTCAGTCTCCATTGTGTTAGAAGTGCGATTGCGAACTGCTTGTTGCTTTGGGTGACCCACGTTTGTGTGTGGCGTCATACAGTCTATGGTGGCGACGCGTCGACGCGGAAATATGTCGTCGACGATATTTTGAAGTCGACGCGTCGCTACAGCACTAGTTGACACATTTCACTTCTTTCTTTCAGAATGAGGAGAAAAGTGTTAAAAGAGGGGAAAATCACTCGTTGAGAGCTGTACATACACACAAGGGGAGTTAGTCGTTTGTAAGAGCCAGCATGCGGGACCGGGATTCTGGGATTTGTAGTCTTTCTAGTTGCGTATTTCTCATAGTCTTATATTTCAACAGTTTTACGAAAAACTGTGACTTTTTTTACATGGAAATGATTTTTTAAGATTGACAAACATCATATGTGTAATTCATGGCACAATTCAAACGGGGTCGAAAGATAAGTTTTCTCTCTCCATTGACTTCAATACATAATTTTTCCGAAATAAGGTCCCATGGGGCGGAACTAGATGGGCGGGACTTCGCCTCTCTCTATATCATTCGGGGGAGGGGGGGGGGGGGGAACCGAACCGAACCGAACCGATGAAACCCCCCCTGGGGTCTAGACACTGGTGGTGGTGAAAGCATGAAGGGATTCAGGGCCGATTTTTGGCATAGGAAGTCGCGTAGGGCTGCTCGATTATGGCACAAATCTTAATCTCGATTATTTGGGTCAATAATTGTAATTGCGATTATTAAATGCGATTATTCATTGACTTTGAAAACATCCATTTATTGGAGAATAAATATTATTTTTTTTGAACAATATGTTTTTAACAGTTGATTACCCTGAACTTTAAGTAGAATTCAACTGAAAAACAAAAAAAATAAAATAATAATAATAAAAAAATAATCGTTTTATTTTGATTACGTTGTATTCGTTGCAAGTCATCATCGTAATCGCGATTTAAAATACGATTTAATTGAGCAGCGCTACTAGGGCGCCAGATCTGGGGGGGGGGTGCTGCGCTGGCAGCTCTGGGAGGGAAAACATTTTTTTTGACCGTTGGTGCTCATCCTACTTTTCGGCCTTGATGTAACAATATTCATAATTAAGTAAATGTAACACCCTTGTCACCCCGGTTACACTTTTCATTTGCCCTGTACGATGGGCGCTGTAAGTAATGTAAGTAAAGGGCTTGAATAGAGGGATTTGAGGGATGTCTAAAGTACATTCATCTGTTTGTATTTTGAGCAAAAAACATCATAGACATGTTTTTATATATTTGTATATATCTGAGACCCATAATATATGCCTTTTTAAAATAGCACGATAGGTGCACTTTAACCTGTTAGACCCCATCCCTGTTTTTCAGGTCTCAGGCTCGAAAATGACATTCCCAGAACAAATGACCGTAACTACACTTCTAAAAGGGGAAAATTATAATCTTTTGTCTCAAAGTAATGATAAACCTGTGAGTTGGATGTAGAAAAATAACACAATAACCCTCTAATTAGTGCTTATTTATTGCAAGTAAGGAAGTTGTTGTACATGAGTTTTGGTCTTAATATGCTCTGCTCAATATGGGCCTAATAAGGCAGTAGTACCACAAGAATAGTAATTCTCCCATAATAAGACTTATTAACAAGACATGAAACTATAAGTGTTAATTGTGTCTAAATAATTCGAAATTAGGTATTTATATCTAGGAATATGTGTTGGGGTATTGACAGTTCAGCTACCAATAGCAAGGTGATATTGACCTGTATGTTTCATATTTGCACATTTATATATTTGTAAAATGTGTACTGAAGGTTAGACAGGAAACCGGGTACAGGAAGTAGGAGAAAGTGAACTGAATAGCATGGCAGTAGACATCAATGAGTAGACTGCTACTAATTTTCCCTTTGCAACCTGAAGAGTAAAAGGGTAAATTCCGTCAGAAAGCAATGACTGTAAGTGTGAGCCTTACACTTACACTGTAAGTATTAGTAACATGTATTGTGTTTATGTGATGACATTTGGAGATGTTTAAACGGTTTAAACACAATGAGAAAATGCGTTAGTGCTAGCATTCGCGTTAGCATTCGCGCTAGCATTTGCATTAGCCATACTAGCCTGTACCGTTCTTATTATACATCCATGGCCTGTACACACAAGCTTATTGCACAGCTAGCATTAGCTATATTAACGTTGTTTACACTTAGTGGTCCCATGTGTTAATATGTGTGTGTTACACTTGCATGTATGAGATCATTAAGTGCCTTGTAACTTCTTTTTGTATAGTTTCACTCCGTTTGAATGTCAGTGGACTGCAAATAAGTGAATAAAGGAGCATGGCTGCTCATTCCCTGGCTCTCAAAAGAGTTTGGCTGGCTATTTAATCTATGTTCACACTGAGACAGTACAACACATAGAGAGAACAGTACACCTATTGTATCACAGTATGATCACAAATAAATACAATCTGTTAAAGGAAATCAGTTTTTATTAAAACGTATGTGTTCTCAGCCTTGGAGAAACTTGACGTGTTTTGGGATGTGTCTGAACCTCTCTTCAGTGGTTAATTAATAAAACAGATATTTCAACGTGTGCCTACTTTGTTCATGTACTGTTGAGGTTAATTTCAGTAGTTGTGTGCTATAATGTATTTACAAAGTGTGAAGAGGAGGCAACTTTAGAATAGGGAACCTGTTCAGGTCAATTAGAGTCAAACTAATAGCTTATTGGTTATGAACAAGACTTCACTTTAAAATAGGGAACATATTTTTAGATAGAAATACCTAATTTTGAGTTATTTAGACACAATTAACACTTATAGTTTCATGTCTTGTTACATAAGAGATCATATTTGTTAAGTGTTATTATGGGAGAATTACTATTCTTGTGCTACTACTGCCTTATTAGGCCCATATTGAGCAGAGCATATTAAGACCAAAACTCATGGACAACAACTTCCTTACTTGCAACAAATCAGCACTAATTAGAGGGTTATTGAGGAAAAACTCTCAATTAATGGCTTATTACTTGTAGAATATGGTCATGTAGAATAAGGCATTAATAAGTGTTTTATAATGACTAATAAAGAGCCAAAATACTGCTAATATGCATGTTAATTAACAACTAGTTAATTAGGTAATTTGTGTACCTTAATATAAAGTGTTACCAAAAAACGTTTTATTTTTACAGTGTAACTAATGTATGAGGCATGGCTACAAAGGGTGGTCTGTAAACACTTGCACATGTTTTTTTATAGATATAGATATTTTTAAAAACCAAAACAGTACGGAATTTTAAATAATCCTTTAGGGATGCTCATGGTCATAATTTTTGCAATCATCATTTGTTAATATGATTAATTAATTTGTTTCTTTTTCTCTGTAATTAGGACAATTCTGGAGAACTGGATCTGCTGAGGAAGGAGCTGTCATCCACACAGGACCCCCCGTGGTGCTGGAGGAATCTAAACAGCATCAGGGACATCATCCTCCCAAACCTCTGCTTCCTGCCGTCCAGCTGAACAGCAGCTCAGGAAGCTTCAGAGAGAAACAGTGTGTTCAACAGAGACTGAAGCTTCAGAGAAACAGTGTGTTCAACAGAGACTGAAGCTTCAGAGAGAAACAGTTTGTTCAACAGAGACTGAAGCTTCAGAGAAACAGTGTGTTCAACAGAGACTGAAGCTTCAGAGAGAAACAGTGTGTTCAACAGAGACTGAAGCTTCAGAGAGAAACAGTGTGTTCAACAGAGACTGAAGCTTCAGAGAGAAACAGTGTGTTCAACAGAGACTGAAGCTTCAGAGAAACAGTGTGTTCAACAGAGACTGAAGCTTCAGAGAAACAGTGTGTTTAACAGAGACTGAAGCTTCAGAGAAACAGTGTGTTCAACAGAGACTGAAGCTTCAGAGAAACAGTGTGTTCAACAGAGACTGAAGCTTCAGAGAAACAGTGTGTTCAACAGAGACTGAAGCTTCAGAGAGAAACAGTGTGTTGAATAGAGACTGAAGCTTCAGAGAAACAGTGTGTTCAACAGAGACTGAAGCTTCAGAGAAACAGTGTGTTTAACAGAGACTGAAGCTTCAGAGAAACAGTGTGTTCAACAGAGACTGAAGCTTCAGAGAGAAACAGTGTGTTGAACAGAGACTGAAGCTTCAGAGAGAAACAGTGTGTTCAACAGGAAGTGGTGATTTTAACATCCATGGTTCTCTCTCGGTGTTCCTGAGACAGTGTGTGTGAGCAGCTGATCCATCCATCGTCTGTGTGTCTGGATGAATCTCTGACTCTGCTCTTTCTTCTGAAGCCTCTAGCTCGGACTCTAGAAGCTAGCTTAGCATGCTAGCTTAGCATGCTAGCTGGTAACACGCTAGCAACACAGTGAGAGAAACGGGAAGTGGTGATTTAGTAATCATGAGTGTTGTCCTGCTCTCGTTGGTGAAGCAGCGACTCACTGCGGCTGCTGAAGAGATCTTTGTTCTGTTTGAAAGAACGATAGCAGAGTACGAGGAGGAACTGTCTCGTTCAAAACAGGAGAACGAGAGACACCGGAAACTACTGGACGCTGTTTTACAGCCTCAGCTTCAGATCCACAGAGCAGGTCTGTTCCCTCTTTATTCACTCTCTCTTTATTCTCTCTCTTTATTAACTCGTAACAACAATAACTGAGTATGTGGGGTGCATGAAAAATGTGACCAATCTCCTCTGTCAATGCCAAACAGCAGCCACTCTCCGGCAAGAAAACAGGCTTTCCAACGTTATCAGATGTATTGCCAAGAAGCATTGTTACGACAAAGAAATAATCTACCAAACACAGATTTCCTTACTTAGTGTTACGTTTATTTAATTGTACATCAATAGGGGATCGATGTCTGCCGGTGGACGAGTGGCAGTCAGCAAGCTTACACTGACACTGGTCTCAGTGTTTGATATTTTAATGCAACAACTAAATTAACTGTGACTTTTAATATTAGCCTCATTACTCCAACTTCAACATTTTGAGAAAAATAGTGGATTTTTGAGAATTTAAGAAAGTCCACATTTTGTGAATAAAGTCAGGATTTGAGATTTGGCTCCTCCATTCCTACCTATTTGCTACGAGTACATTGAAGGGCACAGCGAGCTCTGCCATAGCAGCGCCCTTTTACCTTAAAAACAATCACTAAAATGCACCATCAGCTCATACAGCCAGTAAATGCAGATCTAATCCTGATAACTAACTTGATCATGAATTACACAAACCTACATGTAGAAACTCATATCTGCAAACAGAAAAGGAGAAACTTCGCCCCCACGCTCTCCCTGTCCAAACTAAGCAGTGTAACTTCCTTTTATATCAGCTACAGTACTAACTCACCTGTTTTCCTTGAACTCTCCGGAGCATCTGGAAAAAAGGTGTAATTGACTGACAATTGAGCCAACAGACATACAAAGGGGGCGGGACTTAGCTAACTGATAGGCAAGCATTTGAAATGTTAATGTTGGTAATGGTCATTACATTTTAAATTGTAATACTCAAGAGTTTCTCTGAATATGTGTTTCCTGTTTCCTGCAGACGTCCAGCAGCAGCTGGTGGTTAAAGAAGAGGTTCCCCCTGAGCAGCAGGAGTGGAGCTCCAGTCTGGACCAGGAGGACCCAGAGCCCCCCCCACACATTAAAGAGGAACAGGAGGTACTCTGGATCAGTCAGGAGGGAGAGCAGCTTCAAGGGCTGGAGGAGGCTGATATCACCAAGTTCACATTCACTCCTGTCCCTGTGAAGAGTGAAGATGATGAAGACAAACCTCAGTCCTCTCAGCTTCATCAAAGACAAACTGAACACCTGGAAACAGAAGCTGATGGAGAGGACTGTGGAGGACCAGAACCAGCCAGGAACTCAGATCCAGAGATACATTTACAATCAGAGACTGAGGACAACCCTGGAGGCTCTTCTGAACCTGACACTGAAGACAGTGCTGATTGGAAGGAGACCAGAGAACCAGGTTCAAAGTCTCAGAGAAATAAACAAGACCCTGTCAGTGATTCAAGACGTAGTGCAGGAGAGAAACCATTCAGCTGCTCAGTCTGTAATAAATATTTTTCACATAGAAGAAGTTTAAAGCACCACGTGAGAAACCACACAGGAGAGAAACCATACAGCTGCTCATTTTGTAAGAAATATTTTACACAGAGTGGAGATTTAAATAGACACATGAGAGTCCACACAGGAGAGAAACCATACAGCTGCAGTGATTGTGACAAAAGATTCACACAGAGCTATCTGGTCAAAACCCATAAGTGTGTTGGTCGTCAGTCCTCACAGCTTCATCAAACTCAAAGTGATGAGAACAGAGAGGCAGTGCCTCCAGCCAGCAGCTCAGCTGAACACATGGAAACAGAAGCTGATGGAGAGGACTGTGGAGGACCAGAACCAGCCAGGAACTCAGATCCAGAGAGACATTTACAACCAGAGACTGAGGACAACCCTGGAGACTCTTCTAAACCTTATACTGAAGATAGTGCTGATTGGAAGGAGACCAGAGAACCAGGTTCAAACTCTCAGAGAAATAAACAAGACCCTGTCAGTGATTCAAGACGTAGTGCAGGAGAGAAACAATTCAGCTGCTCAGTCTGTGAGAAAACATTTGCATGGAAAGGATATTTAAATCTGCACATGAGAATCCACACAGGAGAGAAACCATACATCTGCTCAATTTGTAAGAAATCTTTTGCAGTGAAAGGAAGTTTAAAGTGCCACATTAGAATCCACACAGGAGAGAAACCATACAGCTGCAGTGTTTGTGACAAAAGATTCACCTGGAGTCATAAGGTCAAAAGCCATAAGTGTGTTGGTCGTCAGTCCTCACAGCTTCATCAAACTCAAAGTGAGAAGAACAGAGAGGCAGAGCCTCCAGCCAGCAGCTCAGCTGAACACATGGAAACAGAAGCTGATGGAGAGGACTGTGGAGGACCAGAACCAGCCAGGAACTCAGATCCAGAGAGACATTTACAACCAGAGACTGATGACAACCCTGGAGACTCTGCATGTGCAACAAAAAAAGAGGACAATTAATTAGTCCTACGACAATTCACAAGAGAAAAATCTGTCTGGTTGTATATACTCTGTTTGACAATATTCATACATGAATTTCCACATACATCCTTGCATATATACTCCATCTTTAAATATGTTTAACGTTTTTGTCATACTACTTTTCTGATTTATACTATAACCACTTGATTTTGGTTAATGAAATGTTGTGACTTTAAACTTCCATTGGGATGTTTTTGATAGTTCCTGTTGAGTTATCAGTCTGTTCTGGTCTAAAAGAAGAACCAATGACGTATTGATATAGAGAATGTGTACAATGTTTCCAGTTTGATTCTGTTTATATCATCAAACCAAACTAAAAGAAAAAGGCCTTTGAAACAGACTCGCATTCCTGCCTATTGTTTGTGTTTTGCAGCAGATTACAATCAGCTCATTCAGAGTTCAGAGTTAAGATGGAATTTTAGGATTATTCCTTAAATCCTTTCACCTCCGTTGAATCAGGTTGGAAGCAGAAATAAAATACTTTTTATTTAGGTTTATTTAGATGAGATTAGATTTACTTATATATTTAGTTGTAGATGCAGAAACAAGTAATAAACAAGGCATTGCACTAAAGTTGAAACTGTTATTAAAAAAAGAGTTAACTGTATTCATATAAACATCAACAATATACTTACCTCCAGCGGTTCTATGGTAGACACACAATAAGATATTCAGAACACTGTAATCAACAAATCATATTGTTAAAAAATAAAAGAAACAGGATAAACAATATGTCCTCAGTTCAATCAGGAGAGACGGTTTTGATGTAAGAATACATATTTATTGCAGAGATACACAAATTAATGTAATGGTGATTTTGGCGATTAGGCCCCGTTGTGCAGGAAGTATCATTCGGGAGGGCAGAACCGATCCGATGAAACCCCCCTGGGGTCTAGACACTGGTGGTGGTGAAGGATAGTTGGGTCGGTGTGAAGAGGAGTGGCTTAGCTTGGCCCTGGATTCAGAGGGACAGGAGAAGAAAAGGGGTGGAGGAGAGTTGCGTTGAGTCACCTGAAATGACAGCTGTCAGAGGGGGGAGAGCAGGTTTAAAAGGTTTAGCAGAGCGCTATGATAGGCTCTTGGGAATAGAGCGAAGTGATTGGTTAAGCTGGAGAGTGACGCCCCTGATCACTTATTGAGAGGAGAGAGAGTAGTTATATGGAAATAGTAAATGAAGAGTAAAGACGGTCTTCCTGGTTGACGGTCTCTCCTGAGCTTCATTTCAATCAGGAGAGATGGTTTTGATGTAAGAATACATATTTATTGCCGAGATACAAAAATGAATGTAATGGTGATTTTGACGATTAGGCCCCGTTATGCAGGAAGTATCATTCGGGAGGGTTGAACCGATCCGATGAAACCCCCAAAACAAAATAAGTATTATGAAATTAAATGTACGGATTTCTTATAATACGTGCTGGATGCGGAGATCTATGGGATATGATAAGAGAGTTATACAGGATGGAGAATAAGTGTTTTTGAATAGCATGGAATTAAGAGTGGAGTTACTCTTAGGGAACGGACCTTCAGCTCGTTAAAGCTGAACAATGACATATTAATTATAGCCTGGCTCGACACCGAGCCGAGACACGGACCCGTGCCCTGGGTCGAGATTATTTAGCAAGGACGTGACACATGAATATATATAACGGCTGGAAATGCATGTGGGGTTTTAGCATGAGATGGAAACTCGTAAATGTCATATCAGGCTTAAGAGTGCATGAGGCACATGGGGTTTAACGTGGGATGGTGACATTTCACATGAGAATGGTGACATATAAATAGTAGCAGCTTATAAGTGCATGAAATGCGCAGGAGTTTAATCATGAGAATGGGCTGAGGCGTACGATGAAGCAAGGATAATCATATCCTGGCTTGACACAAGCCTGAGACGTGGACCCTTCCGGTGGAATGCATGATTTACACATGGGTTTTAGCATGAGAATGTGACATATAAATAAACATACAGGCTTAAAATGCATGAAATGCACATGGGTTTGGCATTGGTACTGACACACGAAATGTCATCCGGGTTTATGAATGCATGGAATGCAATTGTTGAGGCATACGATGATGCATGGATAAGATATCCTGGCTTGACACAGCACATGAGTGTGAGCATGAAGCCGTGACTTGGAATACAAAGCATGACACAAACAAGACATTGGCAAGAGTAAAACATGCCCATGATCTTAGAATGAGTGATACGATTAGGATTCAGATAGGGTTAGGATAAATGATATGTTGATATGCTATTAAAACACCACCACCAGTTATATGCATATTTACCCGAGTTAAGGCTTGAGAGATGTTTGGATTGCCAGTACGGAGCTGATGTCCAGGCAGATGAAGGAGGTGAAGGCAGCGGAGGACCACGGCCCGAGTTGTTACAGGGATGAGGATGATATGCCTTGATTAGCCGCAGAAGTAGCCCAATTGCTTTTACGGCCCTGTTTGCTTTTCACCCAACAACAACAACCGACTCACGGAACGCTATGTTGTAACGTTGATAAACGAAACAATTTAACTAAATTGCTAGTCAAAATACCAATACCACAGGACAACTTTTTTTAAAGCAATATTTTTAGTGGCCCGAGCGGGCAAGTGGAAAGTACGTTATGCTGGCCCAGGGTGTCTAGTGCTTCCGGGCCAGCGGGCCATTTCATGTCGAGCCCTGCCGGTTACCGGCCGGCCCACATCGTCCAACCGGCCCACTTCAGTACCGGCCCATCGGGATTCGTCCCGATGGCCAGTCCGCCCCTGCCAGTGGCGATCTGTTCATCTGTCATACTGATCATACAGTCAATAACTTTGTTGTTATTAGCATCTGGTTAGCTAGCTATGCTAACGAATATAAGAAGCTTTTTCTACAACCAGTGAGGTAAAGGCACATCTTTATATGATCATTATAGTTATAAAAAAACAAGAGAATAAAGTAAACGGGTATGAAATACTATTTGACAGTAAATAAAAGTTGTTATTAATAAACAAGAATACAGTTTAAAAGGGAAGTGATTTGTAAAATATCCATAAAGAAAAATAAATCTGCTTACAGTTCTGTTTCATATGGGTGTTGAGAGATGAATCCACAGATCTACTAATGTTGCTCTCAAAGTGCACCAGATTGATGCTTTTAAGTTCAACATTAAAAAAATATATATTCCCGGGGGAGCATGCCCCCCGGACCCCCCTGAGGTTAGGTCCCCCCCCACTTAAATCATGTCCACATGTATAGGAAACTAAATACATTTGCACATATCTTGTGTCCAATATACTTTCTGTTTTGGTGGTCATGCCACAACTGTGCACATGAATGCATGCGCGAGTCATGATATCTGGATTAAGAGGTTGCTTTTTCTTTGCACGGCATGACATTTTTTGTATTTTTAAGCAGAGGTCAATAATTTGTACGGCCCTCGGAGGATGTTGAAAAAATTAAAATGGCCCTTGAGAGGAAAAAGGTTCCCCACCCCTGGTCTAAATAATGTTCAGAAGGAGCTGAAACTGGAATTCAGGTCCATCCTAAAGGACAGAGGACACGACACCATTGGTAGATGTGAGTGCTCGTATATCCTCAAATCGTTTAAAATGTTGCCAGTTTTTAATGATTTTTAATAGTTTGTTTTATTTCGCATATTGACTGACTAATGTGTCATTTTATTTGTGTTTTACAGCTGTATTTGTCTGCCGGTCTTGTGTGTGTTTTATCTGTTTTAACTTTGTTCATGCTGCCCTTCTTGGCCAGGTCACTCTTGGAAAAGAGATTTTAATCTCAATGAGTCTTTAAATAAAGGATACATATTTTTCATTTTTAGCACCAAAGTAACATTACTCAAAGTATTGGTCGGACCCAACTCATGTACAGTATGTTTTGCATCTCCTCAACAATGGTCTGTATAGTTGAGTAGAAACAAACTGTCTCTACAGTTTCAGGTAGATTAACACACATTTGTAAGAAAAGTAGAAGTTCAAGTCTGGTTCCTCGACATTTCCGCGATTGGCAGGTGATGTTGTACTCCAAGATTATTATTGTTGTTGCGCAACTACAAATAACAATGGGGAAACCAGAAATGTCCCCTAACAGTAGCAACAATCATACAGCATATATAGCCACTGCCATAGGACCCTGACCAAGCGTCGCTCCTGGACGTTCAGGGAGTGAGACTGTGTTGATGGGGGAGAGATCTCTCGTCTTGCTGCCTCCCTGAAGGCTCCCACAGGAGCAACCAGGACGGAGCTGCCATCCATGGAGGACCTTTACTCCCAGCGGCTCAGGAAGAAAGCCCTCAGGATTACAAAAGACCCCCATCACCCCAGCCACAAACTATTCAGTCTGCTGCCGTCTGGCAGGCGGTACCGCAGCATCCGGACTAATACCACCAGACTCAGGAACAGCTTCATCCCAAAGCCAATAAGACTATTAAACACCTGAACTGCTGAAACAATTTCACAACATTCATCTGCTACTTAGTAATTATCTATCTAATATATCATTCCAATAACTTGTATAGACTGGTATTGCACTATTCCACTTTTTTTTCTCACTTTTTTTTGAACTATTTTCCTTTTGTATTACTTTTAATATGATATACTTTAATATTGCTTTAATATTGTCTGCTTATCTGTATTATTGTGTTGCATTGTTGGAGAAGCCTGTGACCTAAGATTTTCAACGACATAATTACTGTAGCATTTGACAATAAAGAACCTTGAACCTTAATGTTCTACCTAGATGTCTCTATCTATTCCAATCTTCACCAGTAGAGGGCCCCCAAGGTCCATTTATACATTGGGACGGACTGATATCCAGATTTGTTTGGGGGGAGAGGCCAAGAGTTAGGAACAGAACTCTCCAGCCACCCAAAGAAAGAGGCGGTATGGGTTTGCTGAAATTGCTGGAGTACTGCTATGCTGCTCAGCTAAGACCTATTTACTGTTGGTGTGAACCAGAATTTAGAGCAAAATGGAAGGATATGGAAAATGAAGTAAACCAGATTCAAATTCAAAACATGATTGGGGATTATAAACAATATAAGGAACTCAAAACTAAAATGGGTCCAATAACAGTGCACACATTGGATCTATGGTTTAAAGTATTGAACATATATAAGATTCAAAATGATGCAAATATACACTGAACAAAAATATAAATGCAACACTTTTGTTTTTGCTCCCATTTTTCATGAGATGAACTCAAAGATCTAAAACATTTTCTATAAACACAAAATAACCATTTCTCTCAAATATTGTTCACAAATCTGAAAGAATCTGTGATAGTGAGCACTTCTCCTTTGCCGAGATAATCCATCCCACCTCACAGGTGTGGCATATCAAGATGCTGATTAGACAGCATGATTATTGCACAGGTGTGCCTTAGGCTGGCCACAATAAAAGGCCACTCTGAAACGTGCAGTTTTATCACACAGCACAATGCCACAGATGTCGCAAGTTTTGAGGGAGCGTGCAATTGGCATGCTGACAGCAGGAATGTCCACCAGAGCTGTTGCCCGTGAATTGAATGTTCGTTTCACAGCGGATCATCATCAGGACAACCAACCCAGTCTCACAAAAAAATGTGTAATAACTACGCTGGTCCACAACGTAGGACGTAGTATTTCTACAAAAACGCCTCTGAAATTGTAAGATCCCTACGTTTTTTTTCACCATTCATTCCAATGGCAGGCGTCTATGTCACGTGATCTTCACATTTCTCCCTGCAGAAAAAAA